TCCTTTGATATGCCACTCTTTTAGAGGCCCCAGCATCCTCCACGTCACTAACAGTGATAGGAACGAGGTGCCTTGACACCACAAAAATGTCAAAGTAGATAATCAAAAGGGAAATAAGAATGACCTTTCGGTGACCCGAATCTGTTTAGAAAATCAGCAAAAAAATTTATTTTCTTGCTGCATGCAAAATCGGTGAGGCAAAGTGGAATAGAATGGAGGCATAAATTTGAGTCTCTTCGACAGTCAGTGATTGTGGCATAATTTCAAAAAAAAGTCTTACCTTGAGACAGCGTTAGTGTAAAATTCTTTGGTCTCTCCTTGTGCCTTGGAGTTAGTTGCACAGGACTGGCATTCATACATGCGGTTTCCGTTGTGTGTCAAGGCTGCCATGGATGCCTAGCAGACAGGCAGTGTAGTGACGAAAATAAGTGAAGTCCAAGTTGACTGGAAAATTAAGTCTTTTGGCACAAAAAGAAAACAAATAAATGGTTAGAAGAGTGACAGCCATCCTGTCGTGAAGCAACTAACAACCGCAAGAAGCAATAATGACTCGGTCTTTCCCACGCCTTGATTAGGCATAACCAAAGGCTAATTTGCTTATCGTTTCAAGGCAATCTAATTGTTACAAATGTCATCACTTTGATGGCTGTCTGTCTCGCCATGCAACACTTGGGAATGTGGAAGGAACGAGTAAACAAGATTGAACACATTTATTCCACTAAGACTTTGCCTCGTAACACAAAAATCCCCAAGGATACAATTACTTTTCCCATATTTAAGTAGTACTTTTCCTCCTACTTTTGTTAAAATTAGCTGCTTTTAAAATCCACATTGAGGTTTTAAGACGACGTTGTAGAGACCGCAACACACCGGCGCATTCATGCAAAAGAAGTTGAATGCAATCCCCATCGAGGCAATCCTTCATTCGATCCACGACATGCTCAAGCTGGGAGTAACGATGAAATGATTGTGCAACCAGAAAATGCCTTAAGCTAAGTAGCAACTGAGCCACCATAAAATATCATTCTATTTACTAAAAATGAGATTCTTAGTTCACTCTTTGCGCAACAGGAATTTTTATGACTGATGTGTTAAGCAGAATAGAGCCATAGCAGTACAAGTGAATTCCGAGGAGAAAAGAAACAAAGGCCCCAATGTGGTGAGGCACCCATTCAAAAGCAAGGCATGTTCTTGTGCATGCGTACATAACCACATCAATTAGTGGCAATTAGTACACGTCAGTAACGAAGTTACCAACTCTTCATACGATTTCAGATGTGAGTATGTAAAGTGTGCGAAGAGAACTTTGACTGGTTTTTACCCAACACCATCACTGACACCATT